GCTGAATTCAGATCTGAAAATAATTTTGTGCGAAAATCAAAGTGATTGCTAAAATATCAAAACGTTTTATAGCAATGCTTATCAGTTTCAACATTCCAACAAATTATTTTAATGATTCAAAAAATTATTTTTAGATCTGTTTTTAGTAAAATTTTTAGATCTTTCAACAAAATCATTCTTTCCGTGAAGGAATTTATAAAATAAACATTCATATATATATATATATATATATATATCTAGCTAGGAATTGATGGTAAAGAGTAAATAGAAATACCAACGTCTCTTTTTTAAGAAGCGATCCCTTCTACGGATCTCGTTGCGAAAATTGCGAGCCATCCGTGCGACTTTCCTAATCGCGGACATCTGGACGGTGAGCGCGACGTAACGCGCTGCCGCGAATTAGGTCGACGGGTGTCCTCAGGATTGGATGAGAGAGAAAGTGTTGCTTCTGAGAGCGTCGGCGGATGCACCATCGGCGCACCGGCTCTCTCTCCCACACCGTAGCCCCTCTCGTCCGAAGCGTGTGCCACGGTCGGCGTGCACACGGACGCGGAGCGACGCCTACTCGCGCGGTCGAACGCGCCGCGGGTGGTCGCGTTTTCCGCGCGCTAACTTTTCCGCGTCACTCGCGTGACTCGATCGTCGGCGGAGACGCTTTATTATCCCCCTGCCATGCGGCGACCGTTTGCGAAATCGTCGTCGTCGGCGAGACGCGACGAGCCGCGATCGCAAACTTGCGAAAGCGTTCCGCCGATGCGCGGTCGCGAGGCGCACGAGGATAGGATTCGATCGTTTCCGACAGTCCGCGATGGCGCGTAATTGTTTATCCAGATGCGCCGATTTATCAACGCTTTTTTTTTCCGCGAACAGCCGTTCGCTTCGCATAGACGATCACGTCGCTATCGGGGTACTTGTTGGAAGCCCCCTCGCATATTGAAATCGCTATCTCTGTCGTTTAAATGTCTATGACGCGGCAGGATCGGCGACCAGCCGGCACTGCAGGATCAAACCGGAGAATCGGCATGACTCGGCCGGACACCGAGGAACGCGCGACCGAGCCGCGTTCGTTACAGGTGTTCGATCGCGTTCTCCGCGGCTAATCGGCCTGCATGATCCTTATCGGGGAAAAATCCACCGCGGATGCCGGCGAGACCTAACGAAGTTACTTCTCGTGACATCGTCAAGCATTTGCACATACCGCGAATGCAACCAACCGCGAGAGAAGCGAGAGAGGGAGAGAGAGAGAGGACATTGGACTATACGCGTCTCCCGATGCGATTCTCTGATAAAAACGCGATTGATGATCGAGCGATTTTTCGGCGACGCGGTGATAAGGGCTATACCTCGGCGACTCTCACGATTACCGTGCGCGACTTCGAAACCAGTATCAGCTCGGCGGTTAGGAAGGGGAGGAGAAAACAGGAAGAACTTCTATTTGTGCCGCGCGAGATGGAGATTCCTCTCTCCGAGCGCGCACCCAGATGACTTATAATTTTCTACTTTGTAAGAGATACCTGCGTCGCGCAGAAATTACGCCTCGACGTCGACTTATCGCGCGGATACGCATTCGCGCTGACTTATCAGCGGGTACAAGATTACGCGATTTTTCCTACGTATCTTGATAAGAGGACATACATAGTTACGTTTATTCGATGTCTCGGATTCATTATCAAAAGCAAGAAAGATAATCCTAAGACATATCATTAACGATTTTCTATCCTTTTGTGGATCAGAGTCTTAATTATATGAATAAAGGAAAATTTACTTAATTTCTTGAATTTTAACGAATTCTTAATTTGATAAAATAATTGCAAAAGTTGTAGTAATGATAAACGTCAACGTATCAATAGAAATGCTTGAATTTGTAGCTTGCTCATATTTCTTGTGGTAGAAATGATATTTGAGTTCTAACAATTATAACTGAATTAGTTTTTTTTTCTAGGCAAAAACTTTTTGCGATAATCTTTGCTCTGTAAAATCGTCTTGTGAAATAATCCCTGTAATTATTGTATCTAGCTTACTGATATTTCAACTGTATATAAGTACTCATACAACCGTATAATACAGGTGCATGCGACGTATGAAAAAAAGTGTTGATAAGTCGTGTGCGTTTAGAAATCCCGTCCTGTTGTTTGAACAGCGCGATACGGGGTTGAGTAGAAGTGGCCTTTGCTCTCTAATGATTTACGCGGCGCTAGGGATCGGACGGCCGGTATTACGTTGCGATAAAATAAATTTATGGCGGAAGAGAGACATTGAAAGTAATAGGTTGGATCGCGTCACGTAACGTGACTATCCCAAACCGCAAGACCGGCAAAGTCACTGCGTCAACTGGCCGTGCAATTTGCATTCGGGAAAAAAAAACGGAGAGAAAAAGAGAGAGAGAGAGAAGAAAAATAAAAGGGACGGCTTCTAGCAGCGCAGTTATACCGCGAGCGGTATGCGCGAAATGCCGTGCGTGGCTGCACACACGCGGGACCGGAATGTCAGTGGACGAGATTCCACCGGTCGACGATTTTCCCCGGCGGGAAAAGAGGATACCCGAGGACATACCGGAGGTATTACGCGACGGGGAATACTTTCCGGTGATGTATGCGAGCGAATAGCAGATCGGCGATTTAACGGCCGCGTTGTACGAGAATACGCGTTACAAACTTAACAGATACATCGAAGATATGCTTCTATCTTTATTTTGTAGTTTTGTACACAACTCGAATAGCAGTGGTTTTAGGAGTAAAAAAAAATATGTATACGATTATACGAGAGATCTTTGCTTTAAAACTTCTCTTTCAAGGAATGATATTTCTTTCTTGTAATCGCAGAAATTCGGATTCTCGAAAGACGCACGTATAAGGGAAAAGGACGTTGACCGGATTAGCCGCAGTGTCCATTCGACATCGCTATGTCGTCATCGGTCGGTCGCGATAATGACTAACATCGCATTCGATACCGGATGATCGGATCCCGCGTCGATTGATGGTTGTGGCTGTGGAAACGGGCTGTGTTCTTGTGCGCTCCTGGCCGCGGCACGGTATATACGGGATACCCGAAGCATCACTCTCTCACGGCCCCGAGACGAAGCGCGACACTTCGGCGTGTATCGCGTAATAGACCGCGAGCGCTCGGTAATTTTCTGCTAATAACTCGCTAGCCTTTGGCCTCACATGAACCACCGGGTATAAAATTGTCGGTGAACCCGTCGTACATGAGCCTTCGCTCCGACCATCGTCCAGTCGGCCAACGGCGGAAATGGTATCTCCCGTACTACGTTTAGCTAGCGCGAATTTCACGTGTTTCGTAGATGACAATTAATTGATGCGTTACCAATATCGACTTTTCTTTTTTATTCTTGCTCGAGAAGATGAACGTAATCTATTTCTCGTCTCAGTCGCGCCAGGAAAGCAAAAAAGATCGCAGGTTTTTGCCGAAGGCGAGGAATCAGAAGTCCGCGTTTGCAATGATCTCGCATCTTTCGATCCTGATTTTTAAAATACTACATGTATACTCTTTAGGGCAAAAAGTTGCGCGAGGAATGTAGACTCAACTTTTGTCGAGACTTTGCAGTATTGGAAGAATGAAAGAAAATTATAATCACGTATACTTGAAGCGAATAGCTCGACAAAGTTGTACGATCGCGAATATCGCTTGTAATAACATATTGAGATCGAGTTTAAACATGAAAGAGAAAGAAAAGATCCGCACGGGAAATAATCTGGCGTTGAAAACGTTTAACATGGTCAACGAGAGATGGGAGAATGCTTAAGCGCAGCTGGCGCTGTATTCCGTTTCCAGGGCGAGACCGCAAGTGTCTAATCAGCTGACTCGACGCTTTAAATCGTCGTCTTGTTCCATTAGCTTGTACGATATCCGATCTTACGCTATCCGGAATCGCTCGGGGCAGATCGGGGCCATATTCTTCGAGCTGAATCCGAGATTCGCTGAAGAAGAAAGGGAGAAAGAGAGCGAAACTCCTTTTCCCTTCACGGCAAGATATCGCGCGCTCCTTTGTGTTATCGCGGACTGACGACGATACTTAACGTTGTCAAAGCACGACCGCGCGCACGAGCCGATCCCGCTCGCGAGGTAGTTATAGGCAGCGACCGGTGCTATTCCGAGATAATCCCCTCGCCCGGTGGTCCAGAACACGGAAACGGCTCGCGATAGAGTTCCCGCGATCGTCGGCGAAAGGCGGAGGGAGAGGTCAATCGTAATAAAGAGCAACAGCGCGAAGGGGCTCGGAGACAACTCGTTAGCCTTGTCGCGCAGATAACATCGTGCTCGGCCATAAAGAGGTTTTATGTCGATGCACATGTGCGGGGAAATCGTGGATAATTAGGTGAAAATTATTCCTTTGACATAGAAACGTGTAATAAAAATATCTAGACGTATAATAATCCTCCGAAAGAGTATAAATATGAACGATAAATATATAACATATACAGTAACTTTTAAATATTGCAAAAAAATAAATTAAATAAAATCCGAAAAGAAAATTTTCTTTGAAATTAACGAATCACAAGAGTAATCCTCAGTTATTCAAACATAATTTAACATTAGGGATTTGAATTTTTTAGATCACATCTATGATTTATTTTCATATTAGAAAAAGCTGCAAATAGATCTTCTTACACGCTATGCATTGTTATATTAAAAAAATAAAATGTCTTTTTATAGTTAAGAATTTAATTTCGAATATATATTATATATTAATATATTAATTATATATAATTATATATAAATTATTATCTAAATTTCAATCGGAATTACAATTTTATCAATCTTATTTTTATTATTTATGATTTGTTTTGTATAATGAATGGTATTGTCTAAATTTCTTAAAAATTAATTTATATATTAATTATATATTAACATTAAAATAATTAATGTTTGTTAAATATAATATATAACATTATAGATATAATGCTATAAATTTACGCAAAAATTCTTTTTATTGTTACATTAAACAATTAATACGAAATAAGAAAATAGTATTTTATAAAGTTGTGCATAATGAAAAACTTTTATTTTCTGGATTAAAACTTATTTTATAATTCATCGTCACAGCAATATCACAAATTAGTAAGACCTTACAGTTTGTCATATATAATAATATAACGTTTAATTATTTAACATTTAAAGGAGAAAATAGGAGTTACAAAATCTTCATCAGCAGGCCTGTGTAAAACAAAAATTATTGTTAGTATTATAAACAAATTTTATGATTAATGATGATAAAAAGAATAAAGAAGTTTAAAAGGCTTTAAGATGTAAAAATTCTAATAAAATGAATCAGTTTTAAAATCAATACGTAAATATTAATGCGTTTTAATAATAACACAATAAAAATTGAACTTGGTACTAACACGGTAGAACTAATCCTTGCCGGAGTCACGGTCGATGTTGCAATCATGGTTGATATGGCACACGTATATATCTGTGCGGAAACCGGATAAATATTTGCAGGGTTGACTTTAACTGTGGACAAAAAATCAATTATTAATAATAACAATTTTTGCATAACTAATGATTATTAATAATAATTTTTGCGTATCTAACAATTATTTGAATATGAGGAAAATTAAAAAGCACGCTCTATGATATAAAATAATAAGAGAAAGATTAAATTTGAGCCACTACGCCTCAATATTAATGTGTGTCGATAGCAATGTGTATAACAAAATTAAACTTGGTAATTAAACTTAACCTAGCTCTGAAGGTGATGGTAATGATGATTGCCGTGAGATATGTATAAGATTGGGCTGCTGTAAGGCTACAGAAGACAACAGTTGTGACTGTGGTGTAGACCGTGGCTCACTTATGATTTGTGACTCTTGTGTTGAAGATCGTTGATGTGAGATTTGTAACTCTTGTGCTGAAGATTGCCGACTTGTGATTTGTAATTGTTCCGATGATGACGGCTGATATGTGAATGGTAGTGAAGAACGTGGCAACTGTGACATCTGCGTGGCATGCAGAAATGATAAACGTGACCAGTCTGTAGGTCGCCGCTGATTTTCGAATTGTCGCGATAGTGGGACGAGCGGTATCTTTGACAAGAGACTGAGTGTTAATCATTTTTTTGCGTAATTAATAAAAAAACAAGAAAAAGGAGGAAGGCTTTACGCTAAATAAAAATAATACATACGTACTTATTATAATTATTTAACGTTTGATAGAAAAATATTACGTGACGGTAAACATTTTTTTGGACTATTCTCAATGGTATGATATATAAAATTAAAATGAAACTCACAATGATACAATTAATAACAAGAGTAACATAATATAAAAATTGTATAGCAAAATAATGAACTATCACAATGTATTAATTAAAAATCTTTTTAATTGATATATATATATATACACTTTACGCACTGTACGTTTTACTCACTGTGTGTGTATTTATCCTTATTCGTCTTCTGACAGTTTCGATATTGTCTGTCGAAAGGGAATATTCATTTATACCTGGTTGACCAAGGCAAAAGTGACGAAACCAAATAATGAAATGGCGCCAAGCGGTCCGGAAGCAGCTCCGAATACGTTTTAAGATATGAATATTAGGACAGCTAATTAAACAAAAAATATATATGAAGTAACGAAGTAACAGCCAAATCATTGCAGTAGTATATAATAAAAATATAATAACATTATATAATAATATTAATAATTGTAAATTGTTATTATTTATAACTATTTTAATGCTCTTTTTACACATAGAATGATAAAAATGAAATTATATAAAAGAAATAATATGAAATTACATATATAAGATATGTTATTATAAAAACGTATGCTACAATAATTGGGTACAAATTTTCAAGATGTTTTGCAGCAATAATTTTATATTATTTTGTCCCATATTTTCACTTTTTTTTTTAATATATATGTACTATTTATATTATTATAAACTAATTACATATGAATTAATAAATTAAAAATTATGAAAATATTATTATGAAAATGATAGCAAAAGAATTGTACTTACCAAACTCGGCGATACAAATTGAAATGTATAATTAACATTATTAGTACACCAGTTCCTAAACCAGCAGTATACCACAAATAATTGTGCCAGTGCGATATTATATAATTTACATATTCATGTTTACATATAGTATTCGAAAATTCTTTTGTTTTGTTTTTTCTGTACGTAATATCCATTGATGATAATATCACATTTTTTGTTACAGCACCTAGAAAAATAATTGCAATTAGTAAATAATTACGTCTTTTATTAATAAATAAATTTTCTTTATGATAACTATTTATTAAAGAGCTGCAGAGTACTGTTAATTGCTAAATATATAAAATTTATTTGGAATAAATTTTTCTGTTGATTTTAAATAAAATTACTTTTACATTAATATTTTTTATAATAAATTTTATGATAAATTTCTTATTACTGTATTATGTATTATATTTTTGATAACTAAAAGTGAAATAAAAAAGATAATTTAATACACTAAATTATTTGAACTATTCTGTATATATGTAAATTATGACAAATTTTTAAATTAGACAAAGAGAAAAGAGGTATTTAACTTTGTCTACATTTTTAATTCTCTATAATTCGACGTTTTATACGTAATAGTTTATTTATAATATTGGTCTATAATCTTAAATATGCTACTGTTTTCATTAAAAGATGTTTTACGATTTAATATTATGTATCAATTGCATATCAACAATTATTTTTTTTATATGCATATATCCCTTTATAACTTTATTCAAAAATAGATTAAAAGAGATTATTCAAAAATATAATATACATATAGTAATATTACCTGCCACGCGCGCGTATTCGAAGTATTACAATTAAGAGAATAATAATCCTATAAAGCATTATTCCTTTTTAATATAGCAATATAAATTACTTTACCGGAAATTAAAATAGTGAATATGATGATCCATAGTGATAGTGACATAATTTAGAATTATAGAACATTCAGATCTTTCTTCCACTACACTTAAGTAGAAAAAAATCACACTTTTCTTGATTTAATTGTCTTAATTAATATTTTACTGTATGATGTATTATCTGAAATTTGTAACTAAAATTAATAATGTATTTTGGATATTTGAATAATGAAAAATATATTATCTGACAGCTTAAATCATATTCAAGGTGATAAAAATGAATAAATTCTACGGAAATTCGAATTGAGGGAAATATTTATAATATTACATATTACAGACGAGATCGGAAAAAAATAACAGAAATATATATGGAAGAAAAAAGTAGAATATATAAGAGCATTTGTTAGTGTTTGTTATTTTTTTTTTTTATAATTAATACTGTCATTATGGAAATAACGTAGTATTAAAAAAATTAAAATTTAATTGGATTGTAGCTTCTATGTATAATTATATATGATTTAATGTACATTTGAATTTACATTTAGTGATAATTGAATACATAGATTTGACCATTTTCAATAAATCACAGATTTAGTTATAGATAACAAATCTTAAATTTAATATTGATAAACATTGAGATTTATTGAATTAAAGTCTATAAGATTTGTATACGTATGTTTAAATCAGTAATTTAGTTCTTACAGATATGAGGGAATAAAACCTAAAAATTAGTAACAGGAAATGCGTTGCTTAGACTTGGAATTTACTTTACAAATTATTATTATAGTGGTATTACAAATTAGTAAGTCGTTGCGATTCGTAAAGATCTACATACCTTGTTAAACTCATCGAGCCGAACTTCGATCACGAGCCAAACGTGTGTCTATATTGAAAGCCGGAGAATCACATAGATTTCACGACGTGTTACTTGTAGCTCGTTTATGCTTCTTGTTTACGTTAATTCACGGCTTGTAAATATATCTCCTGTTTGAAAAAAATGGATGAAGAAACGAAGCTAATGGACAAGTTTGGGCAAGCTTGAGTAATATTTTGTTTTGATTTGTTGACCCGTGGCTCGGCAAGCCTTTTGATTCGCGATCTGCTTATCGACAACGAACGGGAATGACGAAACATGAACCGCGAGCCGAAAATCGCGAGCTACGAGCTGCGAGCAATAACGAACTACCTACCCCTCTTCCATGGCACGTGGCACTCATGGCAGACGTCCTGTTCGCCACGTGATTATGTTATGTAGCTTGTCGCCTGTATACGCCGTGGAACTCCTGATGGCTTTATAAAATTAAATCTCGAGTCGCGAGCATTTATTTCGATGTTACGCGATTCGACTTATAATATTTCATGTGAAAATGATATTCTGTTGTTGCATCAAAGAATGGTACACGACGATAAATAAGCTAAACGAAAACAATTGCCAATCAGTCACAGCATTTGATGCAATCCATATATATACTTACATATTATTGTTTGTATTGAAATAATTTATTTTTGAGAGACAGGATGGAGTGGTGCTGACATTTTATATAATAATACGTTTTATAATATTTTATATTTTTGTAATAAAAACAAAAATCTTAAAAATTTAACCTAACCTCTACAAATTCTTGCCGTGAATTACAAGAGCTTCACAAACTTGTGGCACCATGAGGTTGATAGATTATTTTCAAATCTTGAAAATATATTGCGGATTTGTAAAGTCACCGTTTATTAAAAATCAGTAGTAAGTCTTTCCTACACAATTAACATATCTATCTAGACCAGGTATTCGATTTCTGGCATGAGGTTAACCAGTTGACAAAGAAACTGTGTGACAAAGACATCTCTATGCATTGTCTTTTCTTTTCTTGTAAATACTAGTATTGGGTGCATCCAGGAACGCAACCTGAGTGCTCAGCTCTTGCATTTGTTTGGTCTATACTTCTAGGTTTAGAGAAATATACCAATAAGAGACAAGAACTTACTCAGCGCTTACAATTAGTGATCCATTGCGCTCCTGGATATACTCAGACTGAAAGGAAAGAATTATATATGTAAATGTATGTATATTTAAATTATATATTTATATATATATATGTTGCAGTTGCTTGATATTGGTTGTATTATTATGGAGTAATATAAAGAAATGCTTAAATTTAATTACCCACATCTGTAATTAATAATATGGCCCATTTCAATCTTTTAATCGATGAGCGACTGAAATCCTCTTTGAAACGTAAAAATTTTATTACTCAATTATTTTCTATAGAGAAGAAGTAAAATTCTTAATTTGAATACATTTTAAAGTTTATTTATATTTTTTTTACGAAGTCATAGGTTTTTAGTCATAACAGTATTGAATCTTAAACCATTTTCAAATCCAAACTTTATTTACAAGTAATTGAAATAAAATTGCATCGTCAATATATTCTCTAAAATACATGAGTTACTATTTATGTAAAACTTAAACTATAACTTAATAAATACATTTTTTCAAATTAACTAAATTTAAGATTTTTTATTTTATTATGATGAAATTTTGCACTTAAAATTATTATTTAAAAATTTATTGACATTAATTGAACTTGGAATAATATGTTGAATTATAAGATTTATTTTAAGTATATCGACAGTTATATGTTTATTTAACCAATTTTATTTGTAACCAATTTTAATAAATCGAAGATTTATTTATGTTAACAAATCTTAGATTTATTATGTCTAATATTGATTAACTTTTATGTCTATTAAATCAAAGCGCAAGATTTTTTATATAAGTCAGTCATTTAGTTGTTGCATATATTATGAAAAGATATAATAAGACATTGCATGTTCATTTTGTCAATTGTCATAACATCAAAATTGCAGTTTAATGAATTGCTGCATTTATAATTATATATTGTTGAATTTATAGTTACAACTGTTCTGGTTTCAGGTGAAACACAGCGGTCATAAAAAGTAGATTATTGATTATTATAATTTGTAACATAATTATTAATTTTGTATAAATTATAATAATATAATTATAATAATATAATATATACGTATAATTATATTATGATACGCACATAAATGATACATAAAGAGACGAATCCATTACATTCTAAAAAGTCAAGTTTAAAACCAGCTCGCTATCGGATATCTTATATACAATAAGTAGCAATTAGCAATTAATAATAAAATAATGTGTCAAATGCATTTTATGTCTTTCACGAATAAAATAGAATTAAATTTGAAATTACATACGAACACGAAGAATAGCGAGATAAATGGAAGATAAAATTTATACAGTAATACATAAATTTAAGTTTATCTTTATATTTATATATTACTGCTTTTTAAAGTAGTATAATAAATAATTAAAGTTGATAAACAATACATATTGGTACCTGAGAAGAAATAAGATAATATCTAATAATGAATAAAACTTACAAAAATAATAGAAACCTAAATTCCAAATTTGGTTTTAGAAATGTTTTTAAATTTATAATTAAAAAATGCTAACAAATACATTAGAAGGTTCGGGGATAACACAACCGTAGATGATTTTATCTCGGCGCTAAAGAGAATGCGCCAGATCGTGTATTTATACACGGATTGCAAACACCTAATACGTTCTTTAACTGACATATATATATAAATTTATATATATGTCTTCATATTTTGTTTATCGCATATTTCTCGTTAGAGTATTTAACGTTATATCGTATTCCTCCATATGGCTACATTGCTTCTTGTCACTTACGCGTCTATATGTTGCATTGTAATAGATTCAGCATTAGCCATATTTGCAGGGAGACTTGTAAGATAATTTAATAGAAACCATGGGTTATAATAACTCCATGGATTTATATTTCTATGGTTGTCATTTCTTTCATTGAATCTATATATAAATGTAATTATCAGATACTAATAATCATTTACAATTAATGACAAATAACAAGAATTGTCTAGTGATTTCTTATACATGAAAATTTTAATAAATGACGATAGATGATGACAGGAGTCTAATATTGTTAGCATTATATTTATGAATTTTTTAAAATGATATTACGTAGCTACAAATTTAGCATACATATGAATTAATTAATTATGTAATTATAAACAGATATGTTAAGGAAATATTTAACTTACTTTTGATACATATATATTGCTATTTGTGGAACGATTAGGGCTGTACAAATGATTAATATAATAATGATGATCAAAATATCTTCATCGTCACTGTCTTTCTCTTTGTTAATATGCTGTGTATTATTTTTATCATCGTACTCTGTACTGTTTATTATATCTGTATTATTCGTAAATTGTGATGTTACCTTTTTTGATACGATATCTAAAAGAAAAATAACAATTTGTAATTAATTGTATCTAACTAATAAAGATTTATTTGTTAATATTAGATTATTTTGAAGAAATTTAATTTTAATGGAAATAAAAATTTATTATGAATAAATTAATTAATAATAGTAGTTAATGCCTGTACAATTAATTAGAAAAAATTAAACAATTAGATTTCCAAAACAATGTTTAACAACGTAAAATTATACGCTTTTATATGCAATTATATATTTTTTATCAATTAATTTATCGAGAGAGAGAGAGAGAGAGAGAGAGAGAGAGAGAGAGAGATTCATTTATTTTTAATTTATGTTTTTAGCTTGACATCTTTACTTATTTAAAGATATGTTTACTATATATAGTAATTAACTGATAATTTATTAATATAAATAATCAATTTTACTTGCATTTTACGAATGCTACTAACATTAGTTTTATTAATTTTTAAATTTACAATTACTTTTAGTAATTATCAAAAACTTTATTAATTATTTATTTTTTAATGTTAAAAATTTTTAATTTACTAAAGATAGAAGTTTAGTATTATCTTAAGATTTCGGAATTTACTTTCAATTTTTCGTGTAATTATAATTATAAATTTGAATTTAATATAATTGAATATATAAAATTAATAAGTGTATACGTTTGTATTAAGAGAATTTGACTTACTTGTTCAAAATTAGAAATAAAATTACACATATTATTATTTGAACAACTATAAAAAGTAATATAATTATATGCTTTAATTTATCTAGACATAATATTCATTTTAGTGATGTCATGTTCATTTGTAGTTACTGATTCGTTCGTCTTACTCGACACTAATGTAATATTTTGTGTTATGGTATCTAGAATAATAATATTTTATAATTAGTAATGCCTACTTACTGAGAAATTAGTTACAAGAGAGTTTGTTAATAATAAATATTTGAAGAGCTTGGTGCAATAATGGGCTAATCGTAGCCGAATGTGTGATATTGATAGAAATAAATGTATTTTTTTATTAATTTTAAAGTTTATTTTTATCTTTACAAAATGCGGATTAGACCACTGTTGCAGCATGTCCTTTATTTGTTATTTTAGAATATTTTCACTGTTTTTGAAAATAAAAGTTTATAGAAAATAAGTTGGTTAAAAAAATGTCAGTAAATCAATTTTTTAGAGAACAATATTCTTATATAAATTTTTTCAATTATTAATTGAAGTTGTATGTTGAATATTACAATTACACAGTTGTGTATTAGATTAAGCATGTATTTTAAACGATGTGAGTTTTATCTTACCAATGATTAAAGTCGTAAATGTAAGAATCCGTAATTGTATCATAATGTAAGATTTGACTTGTTTAACTTTGTTTCCTTTAAAAAGCTTAGCTAGATAGCTCTTCTCTTGATTTTATAATTGTGATCAATATCGCAATACTGTATGAATTATCTGAAATAAACAGTCTGATTATTTTGAAATATCATAATAAAAATGAATTCTAAAGAAGAAAATCTAAAAAGATTGAAGGAAACATTTATTATGAAATAAAATAATTACAAAATATAATGAGATGCAGTGTAAAGACAGGAATAGGATTATAATTTGGTTTAATTACTACGTTACTTGTATTAAGGTTGCTTAACGAAGAGTCACGCGAATTAAAAGTAATGCACAACACGTATTCGATTATCTTTTTAAAATCATCATTAATATTTATTACATATAATTGTTGACTATCGTTTTTGCAAGATGGACTAAAATTTATACTTTTTTTGAAGTATAATCGATTTTATCATCAATTTTATACTGACTTTGCCATTATTATATAATAATACGTAATAAAACATTGCTAAATTTAAGGAAATATATGAGAATTAATGGTCATTATTGATATTCTTGAGTTTTGAGAGAACTCACTTTGTAACACATTGTTACGGATTGGAGTACAAGATCTATATATTAAATGTATCTGTATATTAGCAGCTTTATTTCAACAAAGATTACAAGAAATGATAACAGGAACATTTGTCACCAAAGATTGGGTAAAATAATATATTAAGATGTTATTTTTGGTCTAGATGCAAAAATGGAAGTAAACTAATATTAATTTATCTGTCTTACCAAATATGACACTGTTTCTACGTCCTTCTCGTATGGCACGGTATGAAATGACTAATAAATATTCAGTTTGTAATGCCCATATTAGACTAAAGATTGTGATTGGATTAGAATCTAACCAATCAGAAGAAAGAAAACCAATCTCAAGTCTAGTGAACTTTGCTTTGATTGGTCAAATTTCACTTCAATCTCAATCTCTAGTCTAATACAGGTATAAGATACATACGTATTTCTTAAAGCTGATAGTCCATTTCTACAAGTTCTATTGGTTTGCCATATGAAAGTCTTAATTCTTAAACGTTGACAAGTTGTCTTATCAAGCAACGCATTCTTTGAAAAAGATAAAAATTATATATGATTTTATTTCGTTTAGCTATTTGGATTTAACTTTTTTTTTTTTATATCTTCGAGAGTAATAGATATTTCTATTTGATCTTAAATTATCTTACAAGAAATTAATATCATAAAGATAATAATTTGTAATGATTGCTTGTTGAGACATGGATTTTTGTGAAGAATACAACTTTATTATAGAAAAGATACACAAGGTCCCGACACGTGCAAACAGACTGACGGCTGTTCTAGAAGTAAGGAATCACGTGACGCGATTATAGACAATATAGTTAGAGATTGTGGACTAAATTAAAAGCATAAAACGGAATCTACATGTAGTAAATTAAATCATATCTTTGACATTGCATTATAATTGTTTAGCTTTTGTTTTTAGAAAATTTACAATGGTAAGATGTCATTGCAATTTTTTTTATCTACGCAATAATTAGTTTTGCGTCCCTATATGTATGTATATATATAAAATAAAATTCTACGATTTTGATATTTAAAATAATGATGTTACTAATAATCGAGATGCAACACTAATTATTGCGTAGATAAAAAAAATTGCAATGACATCTTATCCTACCATTGTAAGTTTTCTAAAAATATATATAGTCATACTTATATTATATTATATTATATATATATATAATAATACACAGGATATTTTTTTTATTATATTACACACACATATATATATATATATATGCTGAAACAAATGCGTAGATAAAAAAATTGCAATGACATCTTATCCTACCATTGTAAGTTTTCTAAAAATATATATGTATAGTTATACTTATATTATACTATATTATATATATATATAATAATACACAGGATATTTTTTTTATTATATTACACACACATATATATATATGCTGAAACAAATGTATTTATATTTCCATTGTTATTATGAATTTATACAAAATTGATAAAAAATATTTACATTTCTATCATGCAACTATTACAGGTAAAGCTATCAAAAAATGTACGTATGTAAACAAAAATCGTGTAATATAAAACGTGTCATATAAGTAGTCATTTATTCTAAGGCACGATGTGTTCGTCAAAAAACTACCTAATTAAATACTTAATTAATAAAAATTACCTTACTTAAAAAAATCTAGCATTTGCAATTTATGCAAAGTTTATGTATAGATGTTCGCATGTTAATGATTATTGTATATAAAAAATTTATACATTATCGTTGCTAGATTTTGATATTGTCAGTATTATTCAATATTAGTATTAATACTGTTAATACTATGTGAGCACAAGTAAAATGTAAATTGTGATTCTATTGTAACACAGAAATCTAGTAAAATTAGCTTTAATTTCTTATTTCGTTGACTTTATATCGGTGTTATTTTTAAGCATATTTTCTTATTATATCTCACGTTTGCCTGCTTTTTTTTTATCAATACCTAATTATGATTTCTTGTTATATCTGATACTTTATGTAACATTCATACATATATATTTTTATCATATATATATATTTTTTTGCAGTGTGTTTCACAAAAAATCCAAGTGAGTAACTTTTTCAAGTGTTGCTACAAACAGTCGTACCGTATCTCAAGATGAGGGTATCGCAGGAGATGCCTAATTAAATATAATTTATGTATATATAGTTACATATTCAATACATTAGTAAAAATTGAACATACGTGTTCTTGTTAAATTTTTTCTGTCAATTTTTATCCTTAGATTTATTCTGTATCTAACAAAAGAACGTATTTTAATATATCTTTAACAAGATATAAAGAAATAATTTGTTTGGTGTATAGATAAAATCACATAGTTACATTTAACAAGAATACGTAAGTTCTTATGTATGTTCAATTTATTAAATTTAATTAAAAAGCTATATAATAGGTTTTTAATATCATTTTGTTCCGTATTTTTAATTCTTTTTTTTTACGTAATTCTAAACAAAGTGTATACAAATTTTTATTAAAGCTGTAAAGATGATAAATTATATGTTATATAATAAGAGAATTCAATTTACCTAACGTGACAGAATATATGAACACATAGATAAATCATGGAGCTCATAATAACTCCTAACCAAAGAGAAATCAATTTTTGGTTCTTTATTGCAATCATGATTTGTAAATTTTCCTTGTGAGCTTGATTCATATTTTCATCATACTTCACTTGAAATTTATTATTTGATAATACTGATAGGAATATCTGTGTCAGAGCATCTAGAAAAATAATTTAAAAAATAATTATACTTCTCATCAAGATATCTGAATTAATAATTATTTCTTAGTTTAGAGAATTATAATTTGGTTAGAAACAGAAATTTAGTGTACATAGATTGAACTCATTGAACTATTCTGTAATTAAATTAAGAAAATTAAATTATAGAAAAATAAACAATAAACTAAGTTTATTAACGAGAGGAAATTTATATTTATTAATCTTTTATTAATTAAATAAAAAATCCAATATACATGTAATAAATCAAAACATCATATATGAATGTATATGTTATTTTATGTTTTGACATATTTAGCAAAAGATAAAGATATTATTTTCCATTAAAAATTTGTAATTATAAAATAACTGCCAAAAAGAAAAACATATATATTTATACATATTTGGAAATATAAATTAACTTACATAACAAGATAATTGCGACGATTGTTACTTGCATTGTTCCCATCATAAAGTAAAATATTATTTAATTTTTTCTTTTAGATAAGACAAATAGACGAAATTGCACTTTTCTTGATTCCCTTAGTCGTAATCACGATGCCTGAAAGTAATAATGTTATCATTGTAGATAATTGTGAAATGCACTATATTTGTCGAATAACTCATATTTATTACATTATTAAAATTAGAGGCATTAATCTGAAGAAAAGATTGAAGAAAAATCGGATTAAGGGGAATAATTATCACAGTATAAATGTGAAAAGTGTCATAAAGTAGAGTGAAAATAGTCATAAAACACAACAGAATATAATAAAAAAATAATAAAAAAAATAATTGTCTCTTTTTTTGACAAAATTAGAATATAGTTAGCATTAATACAAGTAGTCAATACTTAATATGAATGTACTATAAACCTTCTCTTAAAATATTTGTCGTAATTTTAAGAACAATGCAAATCTAAGAATTAGAAAGTTAATATCTCTCTCTCTTTCTCTCTCTCTCTCTCTCTCTCTCTCTCTCTCTAATGATTTTAAAGGAGAAAATCGGGATGTTTATTGTATAACACTTGTCCGGCACAAGGACACAAAAATCAAACGATTTTTGAATATACTCGTATTTATAACTCAGTCGGTTCTTATTAAAATCTTATCAAAATTTTGTAAGTGAATCAAGTATCGTAGAATCAGATGTTACGAGTATTCATTTTATAAATAAATCTCTTAATATTATTTTAATCGAAACGACAATTTAGTTCTCTAAGAATAATTGATTCTGTCATTAATTTTATTTACTCATATATGCTCACTAAATTATTAATATATGATAGCATGTAATTCTATGTACTAACGTAATAATATGTGATAATTAGTATATAAATAATAACTATTGTCAAGTTTTGAGAGAAAGAATATAATCTTTATGACAACTCACTCGAACATATTATAATGCATACGTACAGTGGTTTTATTGCGCTGGAAATAATATCGAACTTATAAAAATGAAATATTGAAAAGAAGTTTGCCATGATAACTGATACATTCCGGCACTTTTGTCTTATATATTATTATATTATTACAATAATTAATTGCTTTACAATATCAACGTGTTTTCTACATCTTACCAAATGGGGCGAACTTGTTTTCTTGCCTTTTGTGTACCTCGCTCAAGAGCACGTGAGTGACAAATGTCGATACGGTCTGTAGGAAACACGTACATAGCCTTCAGCGCATTGTTCGATTCGGACGAATACTATTGGCTCTTATTCTCGCATGAAGTTATCTGTCTCCAGGCGCTTGCAGATCGCACTGCCGTCTATCATTTTTGATAAAAATCAATACAACATGTAATAACATATTTAATTATTAAAATCCCATGGAACACCCCAATGGTATTGCTTTTTTTATGTGTTTTAACAACAGATCAGTGACAATTAACAGTTTGTAGGAGATATCTAACTCTTTGTGATGATTCCTACAAATGCTATTGGCTGTCACAATTCCGCACAAAATTATCTATTCTTAGGTACTTATAGATGGTACCACTGTCTCTTATTTTTTATAGAAGTCTAAATTTTTTCTGTATGACTACGCTCTCTTTCAGCTTGCGTATAATTCTAGATTTATCTTTAAATACTAACAGATGTTTCTGTTCACCGAATCGAATCTGATAATCAAAAAGTTTTGCTTTTGAATTTCCTCAGAGCTGAAAATTATCTGATTTTTGTTCTATATGTAGAAAAAAATTGCTAATTTAAAGATTTGTCGTATAAGTTGTATCTAAAAAAAAAAACTTTAAATTGAACGCTGTTTTTATCACCTAACGTAATAATCAGTTTTGTCATATATATTTTAAGTTTTGCTTATAACGTAATGTTAAATTTATTTCTTAGATCTTAATCTGTTTTGAATGGATATCGCTTAGTCGGCTAAAATTAATTAATATACATACATGCATTCAGATGATCAAGATAAGCTGAACGCATTAGATGCTAACAGTATACATACATGTTACTTTTTAAAATATTCTTTATTAGCAATTAATCCTGTGATACTTATTTACATTTTGAATCAGTGACGCTTTGATAAAAAAAAAGAAATTAAAAAGTTATGAGATTCCAAATTTATGAAATTTATTAATTATTATATTTACATTTGAATCATAATCAGTTACACACGAATCTGTAAAAATACATGCATTAAAAATGTATTATTTCAGTAAACATCAATTCTGACGCATTGTTAGATGCTTGTCAAAATATATATATACATATATATATATATATATATATATATATATATATACATATACTGAATTTAAAACATGTAAAATGTAAAACATTTGTACAAATTATTTATATTTAATAATGTAATGTAATTTGTACAAAATTTTATTTCTTTACATTACACAATTAACATGCTATATTCTCATATTATTATCATTATAATATGAGTTAGCAGTTTAAATTATGTACTTTAACATTGTTAACTTCAGTTTTATAGCTGTTTTATAACTAATATAATTAATATTTGTTTTATAATATATTATAGAACTGTTATATAATAAGAGTTTTGTAACTTATATTGTGTTAGAATTGAGATCGTATCTCTTCAATTGTACAATAATCATGAAATCCATAAGGTATCTCTCTCCTTGTATAATATTCATTAGGTTCACTATAGGTATACGATTAGCTACATTTCGGTACTCTGTACGTCTATTGCAACAAAAGAAAGAAACGCAGTTTTGTAAAAGGAGTTTGTAAGAGGAGCGGCGATGCATTTTAGAATCTTTACAACGTCTATACGAAAATTTTAATACCTAAAAAGATAATTTATATATGAGTGTATATATATGTATGTATATATGTATATGTACATGCAGGGTGTAGCTGAAATAACAAATTTCGGGGGCGAGCTTCCTACACCAAACATAAAAATAGTTCATATGAACATATGTCCGCAAACCCAATGTTACTAAGCTATAGCTAAAAAAAAAAGTTTAAATATTAGCCGCCGTCGTGGAACTGAGGGGGAAGGGGGTCTTTAATTAAAATCCTTAATTTATGAAGTTCCAATTGCTAACAAAGATGTGCTACGCCAACGCATCCTTGCTTGTGAAACTATTTGCAACTGCCCCGGGATCTTTGAAAGAGTGCGACATTTCATAACCCGACGTGTTCAAGTGTATATTCAATCAAATGGGAGATACTTCGAACATTTGCTTTAATTAAGAATTTAAAATAAATAATATTAAATAATAATAAATATTACTTTTTTATTTTCACTTATTAATGAATATTTTGAGCTGTATCTCTAATAATGCGGACATATGAACTTTTTTTTTATATTTTAGTGTCGGGAGCTCGCCTCGAAATTTGTTATCTTATTTCAGATGCACCCTGTACATACACACAGGGTGTTCGAAAACTCATCCACACTACTCTTTTTAATAGACTCTTCAAGGTCGTAATTATAATTTATTATGATTATGACTCCGAAAAATAAATTACAATTTTTTTAAACATAAAAGTGGCTATAACTTAAAAAAATCATAGTTTATTTTTTGTAATCATAATCATAATAATCATAATTTATTACGATTATTATTACGATTTTTAACATATAAATGGCTATAACTCGAAAACAAATAATTTTTCGATCATATATTTATATAGCTTTTTTCTTTCTTTTCAGATCCCGAATCACTTCAGGAAGTAGTGCAGGTTAGTTTCCGGACACCTTATATCATTTTGTAATATCGTGAATATCATTGAACATAAGCATGTTAAATTGAAAAAAGAAATTGATCTTTCTATGTATGCATGTAATATTTGTTTTTAGCGATTAAGGGATCATAAGATATTTCAATCGTATAATAATTCAACGTATCTTTAGGGATTTGCCTTATATCAAATACACGTATTGCAGTGGCCAATAAGTAGTACAATTATCTGCCATATCATCTCTTTTTTTCTACGACGTATTATTCAACTTTCTGATGCATCTGCGAGCATGATGCGGCAAATATCGCAGTACCACTTTCTTATCTACTCGATCAAGCAGACTTTTCGAATAAATCATTTTTAGAAAGAATAATTTTTATGAAGAGACATCGAGAAAGCTTTTCGTTTTTTGTCATTTTTTTAATTTCAATGTCTTATGCAATCAAATCTGTCCGTTAAAGTAGCTCCTACTTGAAACTAAATTGGACACAATTAAACAACAAGTAAATCTTTATTTATTCGCATGAACTGGCGTTTTTATCGGACCTCTTAATTATGCAGGTATGCGATCGTGCGTGACACGCGCCACCCGGCGAATCTTCGTGCCGGGGAGGCACGTGAACGAGATGCACGAACGGGAAGAGCCCGTGGGCGAAGTGTATTCGCGAAGTCACCGATGTCGGTTCCGCGCGATCGTGGCACCGTCGCAGTCGTCGCCGCGGCATTTCCACGTTGGACCTATCCACAATCGCGCGTCACGTCGTAAACTCGCGGACATTCGTGCTCGCGTGGCACGTCGCATTCTTTTAATTACATGCACAAGCCCCATAAGCCCCATCCGCGCGACTAAGCGCTTAGAAACGGCCGACCTTTCTAAACGCGACGGCAAAGTCCGCGGGATTGTAAAGAAAAAGGGAAACCGAGCGCGAGCGCGAAGCGAGAGGACAAAGGACTTATATACCGATTGCCGATCGTCGTCGTCGTCGTCTTCCTCCTCGTTGTCGCCCGCTATCTCGCGAGCCTCGATCGTTCCTTACCGCAACTATGTATAAGGGCGTTCGTCGGCATAAAGTCCCCGTTCTGCAGTCTCAGATATTCATCTGGCAGTACGCAATTATTGCGTTACGGCATGGAATGTATGCTATCGGAAGACACAATGCACCATTCGGCTTCACCAAATTTAAAGACTGAACTTTATCTCAGCTGTTTAATGTGTTCAAGTTTTGATCATATTACTATAAAAATTACTTTTTAAAGAAATACTTTTTTAAAAATATTAGAGAGAGAAGATTAAAAAATTCGTTAAAAACGAATAAAAATGAAGATAAAAAAGAATTTTAATTCAGTTCAAGATATGCGATTGTTTTGCCATTAGAAAAAATGAGCGTATATATTCTTTTATGTACAGAATATATTCAGTCGCATATATTACCGTATTCTTCTTATTTTTATACGCTTTTTATCTTATCCGGAAGAAATTTTGTTTCTGAACATAATAAAATATTGACACACTCGCTCGAAAGAGTCATCGTGTAATTTATTGTTCGACATAAAAATCTCCATTAGAAAGTGCAAACAGCGATGCCGAGACGAGATATTATGTGATATACACGAGTAAAGTACTGAAATTAATTAGAAAAGTCAAAAGGGCTGTATTTTAAACACGCAAACGCGTATGCGGCGCAATAAAGATATCGATCAACGATCGCGGCTCTTTTGATCAGAAATCAAATCGTGGTTAATGGGTTGATTAATTAAAGCTTTGATAGCGAGAGAGAGAGCAGGGTATGCCGCTCGTAAAATTACGGTACGCTCGCGATCTGGGCCACCCAATATGCCGGAGTCACAGGTGCGCTCATCACCTCGCGCCGAAAATCCGATCGACGCGATTCCAGAAAAACTCGGCATTATTTTGGAAAGTGCAGGTGGCTTGGTCGAAAATAGGCCGCCGGCACGCGCTCGTAACGAAGAACGAACGGAAAAAGCGGTCGAGCGGGACCGCGTCTTTTTCTGCGCGTTCCGCTCGTATACGAAATGCGCGTCTTCCCGATTTTTGTCGGTAACATACTTAATATTGACCAAACCGTCCTTTAGCATGTTTTCTAATAAATAAGACACAATCTCGCGCTAGGTTTCCGGAGAAACCGCGACAATGAAAAATTACGATGGTTATTCCTGAGAGAGTTTCTGCTTTATTGTCGAAGAAGTCAGTCAACGATATGCACCAAGCGCACAATCGGCGCGCGGCATTGTCTCTCGACGATTAGCGACGAAAAAGACGATGGTGATATCAGCTTTCCTAGATTGTTGAGCGTTCTCTTCGCGCGGGTTAAGATCGCACGTGTGAACGCGGACTTGCCGTGTGCTCGGCCGTGTGTTTATAGCGATGTAAGTGAAGACAGAAAGAGAGAGAGAGAGAGAGAACGGGACGGCAGCGGCGGTCCCACCGACGGTCGTTTTATGAATATGCATTGGCTTTTCCGGCCGCTGCCGCCGTGCGTTGCTCCCAATTTGTCACACACCGTGGCATTATCCCATTTTGTTAATAAAGCAATGTTACGCGCGCGCGTACGCACCGGTCGATTCTTCCTTTTCCCCCCTTTCTTTTCTCTTTACTACTGCAGCACGTTGCAATTATGCAGCTTTGTAATTGCGCGGCACCTTGCCCGCCGTTGCTTCCCCGCGGCTCCTCCTTTCCCCCCCCCCTCCCCGCGCGGCGTATCGCATCCTCGTCCCCTCGGCGTTACAACGAGACGCAACTTTATTATGACTATAGACCCGAGTTTCTCTCGTCCCGTGGTATAGCAGGTGCGTGACGCGCAGAAGAAAAGGATTGCCGCGAAAAGGGCGGGGCGAGAACGCGCCGACAGAGGAACTACACTTGACTTCGGTTTATTTAATTTCATGAGCTCGCACTCGTAGAAATACGTATGTATTTTGTAAGATCATCGGCTTCTATAGAAACACATGAGAAATGCGAGGGTATATCCGAGTAAAGGAGAATGATGGTTGTGACACTTTCTCGCAAGTGATTAAATGCCGATCTTTTTAGATTTAAAAGATTCTCCGCCAGACATGACTTTGTCCTCGCGTGTGATTTCTTTCTTTTCACAGTTTAGCAATTTTAAAAAAGAATATTTTTTCTTAACTTTGTTAATACTTCAAATATAAATGTCATAATAATGTTTTCTATAATTTTTTTTTACATTAACGCGATGATTACAAAGCAGAAGCATTGAATTCTAGAATTTCTGACTCTGATTCTGAGAATTTTAAACGAACTTACACTTTTTTTATTTAATTTTTTGACAAAGAAATCATATTATTTCTATAGGCTTTTCCGTAACATTTGAAAAAATACGTTTTTCTTGACGCGCGCATTCAATTCTTCGTCTGCACTGTTATCACCAAATAATGTCGAAATAACCGAGCGAGCTGTCACTGCAGTTACCTTACTAACGAGTCGGACATGACGTGCGGGAATAGAAATACGCGATCCGCGTCGTATATTGCGGCCGAAAAAGAGAAAAGCGTGACGTTTGATAGCCATATTTACCGCGGAAAATAAGCGGACAGAGAGCGAGAGGGAGGGGGGGGAGAGAGAGAGAGAGAGAGAGAGAGGGAGAGCGAACGAGTGAGAGAGAAAGAGAGAAACAGAGAGAGACCTTCTATTTGCTCAACCGAATTGATGTGGCCCCTCGCTAATTGTTCGCTGACTTAGCGAGAAGTAACAATCCGATTAGAATTAGAACGCGAAAGTTATTTCATCATTAACTGGGCGGGTAACGAGTTATTATGGAAATTGGCGAACTCGCGCGCTCGTGAGAAGTATTTATTTAGGCTTAGCGAAGAACTTAAAGAAGCGAGAACTTAAAATTGTGTTACACACCGGAGGGGACGTACAAAGAACGCAACGTGACGCAATTCATGAATACCAACAATTTAAAACTTTTATTTTT